GATTATCTCATTAAAATGGGAAAAACAACCAAAAAACAAAAAAAAAAACTAAAGAAAAGAAAAAAGAGAAAACTTAACCAGTCCTATAAGAAACATTTTGTTTTTTTCATGTATTTCAACAAAGGTTTCTCCATGTTATTCTTGTTTATCATTTATTTTTCTTGCTATTGTTTTTATTTTGCTGCATCATTTTTTGCCATTTTAATACTTAAGAACAAATTAGCCAGGATTAGCCATGGACCAATATAAAATTAAGACAGTGAAATTATGATGGGGAGGGCTCTGCTAAAAACCAGGCCATCTTCACGTGTGTAGCCAACAAGGTCTTCCCCTCAGACTGTAGTCTGTCCTGGAAGGTGGAGGTCATCAGCAGCAAAATACCTAAAATGTTCCTCTTTGCTTTTTAAGTTTCAATATTATTAAATGGTTCTTTCCAGATCAAATGCTTCAATATAAATTCTGTACTGATTTAATTACCTTTCAAGCAGAAATCTTGTAGTAAAACCATTTCATGTGATAATTTTAATAAACACATTCTGGATAATGTTATTTGGGTTTTAAAATGTAAAAAGATACATTTTTTAAGACAAAGTCTAAGCTCCGTGCTTTTCCATGTTTAGATCTGCCTTTTAGAAACAGTTTATTAAATAAATCATGGTCTTGGACTTTGTATTTTTGTACTATCCCAAAGTCTTTCTCTCTATGAATAAAAACAGAGTAAATCAAGAGGATCAGAAAAGGTGAATTATCACCACAGACGAATTAATCACAAACTGTTGTTGACTTTGCTGCACTGGCTTCAAAATTCATACTGTGGCAAATAACCAGATTAATAATTGTGTTGTACTTTTTTAATATTTCTATCATAAAATATCTTAGCTATAGATGCCTCAATAAGTCCTCATTGACAAATTAAAATTGTCTTTGAGTTTACCAAACATTAAAAATGCCTTTCCGTGTACTTGTGTGCAGATAGCTCTTAATCTTCTCTCTGTTCAGTCTGTAAATAAAGTGGCTGTTTAACAGGGTTTGGATCTGGCTGTCTGGGATTGCAAGATTGTTGTAGATTGTGGTGTTATTTATTATTTTTCCATTTAAATTTGTATCCTTCTCTTTTTTTTTCTTACTTTTTTTTTTACAGCTAATTCCACGTAGTTGTAAACCAAGTAAAATCAACAGCATGAGCTTTGGAGTAGCAATGTTGCAAAGATGGATGTTCATTTTATATTTGATTTAAGGCTACTTATTCTGGAAATCTATTTAAAATACAGATCAAACAAAAGTCAATGAAATTATATTTTGTTAACTTTGGTCAAAGTGTTCATAGGGTGAAGTACAACTCTTCTAACAGGTTTGAACATGAAATTATACCCTTGATTTGCATTTCTGCTTATCTGTATCTGTGACCATCAATAGAGTAATCTAGAAATATAACTAAATGCACATATAAAGGTCTATCCACCTGAACTTGTACAGCAAAGAAGCAAGGTGTAGAAGTGAGTATAAATCTAATGTAGAAAAGACACCTGGAATGGCCAGATAAACTCTACATTTGGCGGTCCTGTGCAGGTTTAAATTATACGTTTCATAGACACTTAAAAATACATCACCTGGTATTTCATTCTGCACCTTCATTAGAACAACATCAGAGCTAATACCAGCTGAAAAAGATGTCATAAAGACATCAAATTACTGTTTAAAGTAAATGCAAGTAGAACATGAGAATAGCTCTCAGCCAAGAAAGATATATCTTGTTCTTAACTTCTTTCATTTTTTTCCTAAATGGTGACATTGAATTTCAACCCTAGGTCAGATTTAATCTTGAACTGGAAACCACATTTTCGAGGTGTAACCTGAGCAAATTCTGCAAAACCAGAAACAAACTCCAATGTGCACTAATTATGTAAATATATCAGTGATTGTATGTGTGTCTGAGTTTAGTGATCTGTGTCAGAGTCTGTTTTCGTTCAGCTGGAGTTTCTGTTCTGTCTGCTTGAGGGAGGTTTTTGTACGGCTGTTTTTCACTGTGTGAACACATACTGACTGTTGATGACATGAAAACTCTGACAATAATAAAC